GTACCGAAATTGATCACTAATATCCTCAGGGTCGTCTGATTCTGAGCCGTCCGGTAGAACGACACTAGTTACCGCGGTCGACCTCGAGCGATTCAACCGCTGCAATCGCTTCAGTTAATGGTTCAGCTGTCTCGTGGCTTGGGTTCGCCTCGTACGCTTGTTCCCTTCTCGTCACGTGAGAGCGATACACACGAAGAATGTCGGTCTCTTGAGCTCCCGCTTTCACCTGGGCTAGCTGGAGCAGAGACTTTATTCGCCGTTTCCATCCCTCCCAGACAAGTCCTGGACTCGGTGTATGTCGAATTGATTGTTGGAGCTGCCTTATGTCCTGTATAATAATCTGACGAACGGCGTCATCCTGGAGAGTTGAGGGATTTAGGCGCCAATACGCAGATAGTGGGCGACGACTGGGGGACCCCAAGGCCACCCGAACAGCGAGGTGATCCCCGCTATGTGGTAATTGAAAATATCTCGCTTCGTCAAACGTCGAGTCAACCCAGTCGTCACTGATAAAGATGTAGTCAAGCCGGTTAATTCGAGGCGAAGGGCCGGAGAATATCCGCCTGCTCGGAAACCGAAGTTGCCACGCGTCCGTAACGTTAAGCGTTGACAGCCAGCTAAGCAGATATCCGCGAGATGTATCTGACACACTGGACACCCCACGGGAGTCCAGAATAGAGTCGATCGCCACATTAAAGTCACCGAGAACCAAATGATGGGAGTCTTGATCAAATTCAACTGGAAGAGATTGGTAGAAGTGGGAGCGCTCCGATGCATTTACGGGGGCGTAAATGTTGTGGATGTAGACAGTTGACCCCGCGTGTACCAGTCGAATCAGAAGGTAACGTCCAGGAATAGTAGTTTGCCTGACCTCTTCCGCTGACCCAACACCCGGTAGGTCGGGATGCAACAGCGTTGCGACGCCGCCACTCCGAGGCCCTACTTGAACAGGGCTGGAGCTGTTGCGGTCACTGACAAATAAACAATGGTCGGAGGCTGAAGACAGATGATGGACATCGCGGAACTTGGTTTCCTGGACGCCGATGATGTGATACTGGAAGATCACCTTCTCGATGAACTTCCTACCATTGCGCTTAATGCCGTAGTATTAACGGACAACAGCGCAGCGTCGTTCCAAACCGTCACCACCTGTGATGACACCATGGGGATGGACCCCGCTGCCCAGGCAGTACCCAGTTGGGTCTCTGCAAGGCGCAGCACGCTAGTTTCCCAGGGAAGCCATTCGGAAGCCGCCTGTAACGCGCGAATGCGGTCGACACAGGGGTCGTTCAATGCCATGCACTCCATGTGAGACATGATCCTATGGCCAACTTGGCTCCGCAACAAGCCGAGTAGAGCATTAGGATGGAGTAGGCGCGTCGATGCGCCTCCGATATACGGGGAAGAAAATCCGCAAATAAGGTGGAGCCACTCGTCGTTTGCGTAGATTCCAGGAGCCACGGCCATAACCAGTAGCTCAAAAAGAGCTAACGCCTCCGAGATTCCATAAAGACCGAAGTCCGTAGTGTCTAGTAGCCATTTATCTGCCACTTTAAAGAGCTCTGCTCGAGGCCTGGGGCACTGGTCTCCGAAATATTGCACCCATTTTTCAGCGATAGACGCGCAGGAACCAGCCGCCACCGACCGAGAGATCAGGTGAAGGCGGATGAAGTCATTCAACAGCGGGCTTTTCGTCCGCGTCAATCGAAAAAAGCTTGCCTAGAAAGAGGATGTTGCTTCTGCTCATACTGCGCCGCAGGTCATCAGTGGTAACCGCACGCTCCTCGGCTCGAGAAGGGACGAGATCCTCAGATGCTATCGGTTCTGCCAGTTCTCTCTCAAGGAGCGATTGCTGCAGCACGATGTCGTCATTAAGAAAGGTAAGAGTCGTGCCAATTGACGTAGGCGCCTTCGCGTGACGTACCTTGCCTTTTCGCACTTCTGTGAGGTGCGTTAATTCGGTTGATGTACTGCTTGACTCCGGAGAAGAAATAGGCTGAACGGTTACACGAAGGCTATCGTCTTCTTCTCCGACAGTCAAAGTCTGTGCGAAGAGTTCAAAAGAGAACTTGTCCAGTTCCTCCCAGTAAGTAGTCGATGTAAATGCTGGTGGCTGCGATACGGGCCCCGTCGACTGACGCCGAGCCAGACGCTTGCGTGGAGGCGATGCGAACGCCGAGCTAGGCGACAGCTCAACAATGCTTTCTCCGGCTCTCCCCATAGAATCTGACTTGTCCGCGTGGGAATCGGTAGTAATTACCTTCGAAGTACTCACCATGCACTCGGAGATCACCGACGCCGAACCTGAAGACTCCGTCGCACTTCGACACCGCTTCTCGCCTCGAGGAGCGGGTGCGTCCGCGCCGCCGTCTTGGGCATTGTGGGTAGGAAGGCTGAACTCCAGACAGTGTTGAGACAGTTTGCTCGGGGTTAGGTGGTACTGGGTAGCTTGAGCGCCTCGGGCTCGTACAGAGTACAACATGCCACCGAAGTTAACTTGGTCACAGACCTGCCCATTGATCACAAGGGTCGTAGGACACGTAGACGAGTTGAAATAGTATCTGACGATACCAGAGGTGATCGTTGAGACCGTGTCACGGTACGTGAAGTTGAAATTGATTGGCTGACAACCATATTCAAGAAAGCTCGTAAACAAGCGGCTTGCCACGGCGTCGCTACGCACCCCGAGAATGTCGAGGTAGAACGCGTCCGAGAGCGGGTTTAACGACTCGAACGTTAGGGACCGTCCCGTAAACTGGCAGCGCTGACCCGCAAAAATTAGCTAAGGCGGAATCCGTTCTCAAGTATAAGAGAAGCGAGTTGAGAGGCTGCAGTGGACATGGATGATATCTCCATCCGCCACCACCTAGCGGACAACGATTTTGTCTTTCACAGCTGCTAGTCCCATGACAAGAGCCGGTCGTGAAACGACAAACAGACCCGACGAGACAGGGGCGGTGTTGCTGAAGAGGGCATCAGGAATTGTCATCTGGCTGCGCTTGCTTCGCTGCCGCGAGAATCACGGCAGGGTTCTTGTCCGGCTCGTCATAGAGACGGCGAATAGTTGCTAGAGCTTCCCGGGTTGGCAGGAGGCCGGTGAGCTACGGGCTTCTATGGACACCGAGCAGCGCGCCTCAGAATCTGACTCTCAGCCATCTATTGTGACCACCACTGCCACTGCTAATGGTTTCAAAACGGCGACGGTGCCTGGAACCGAAGGTCCAAGCTCTCCGTCACCGACTCGCCGTCTGTCTTTCCGCAATGCGGTGACTGGCGCGCAGGACCCAGGTGCGTCTTCGCAGGCATCTCGAGTTCGTCCACGGGTGCATGAAGAACGGATTGCTCAGGGCGCATCGAATCCACATCGGGTGCTGCGTTGTCGGCCATCGCGGTATCCGTCGGGGTTGGGAGAGATGCATAGATGTCCATTGTGGAGAGGGGGTATTCTTGGGGTGATCTCAATTCATGGTGCAAGCGAGGCTGCAAATTGAGAAGTGCAAACTTCAATATTAACGGTGAACATCAAGTGTGAATAATATGTGCACATCAAATGTAAATGTTATTAACGGTTTTTAACTGGCAATTAACGGTTAATTACCAACCCTAGCCCACCGTGGGTGATTATGAAATAACAGGTGCGATTTGGCGGAATATGAAATCCCTTAAACGTGTTCTTAGTCAAAAGGAAACATCTCGCGTGCGCTGCAAAGGCTGTTTACCTTCGTCTATCCAAGACAATACCTGTGGTGCTGATCCAAGCGGGAACACCCTCACGGCGTTAGCGGATTTAACTTCGGTGCTGCAACTCCAGCGAGACCTCAAATCGTGGCTGGTAAGCTTCGGTCCGTTGAACCGGCCTAGCCGATATGTTGCAGCTTGTCTTACTACTCGTTATTTGCGTAGATATGCTAGGAAAGCACAAAGCTACTGCTGAATCCTCTAAGGTCCATATGACCCCGGAGGACTAGTGTGTTCTCGTGAACTGGGTTGAGGTCAAGGGGCAATATAGGATACGGATGAGAAATAAAAGCTGAAGCCACATCGAGGCTTGTGGGCAGTGACTATCATTGGCAAACACGCGATGGGTTTCTATCAAGTCACAAATGAACTCGAATGACTCTCTTGTAGTGCGTGTGAGGCTCCGAAACTCCTCATCATTTAAATTTTGAAAGAATTCTCTTGCAAATCCTCGACTTCTCGCCCGATTCACTCTTGGACTCAAGAAGCGCCACGATATAACTTGCGCCAGGACTTCGTATAGCTCCTCCACGCTTGATTCGACAGTGAAGCATCCAACCCAGTCATCAAACGGAGAACGTCCACCGAGGTCTTCATCAAACTCTTCTTCAAGAATGACGAGAGAGAATAGATCAACGACTTCATCTTTAAGCGCCTGTCGATCACTGACCTTGGGCATTTCGAGGGTGTGACTTTTCGAACGATCGCCGAGCTCCAAGATTTCCCGCGCAACTCTGACACGCCCTTTTAAAAACTCGTATCAAATACCATGCTATTTGTCGGAAAATCACATGTGATTTGGGGTGAAATGGCATGTGATTACTTTTGGATTTTGTTCAAGTCTGACACCACCTATTTATGGTCAGCCCCCAACGGATTAATTCCACGGTACTGCGTTGCTCGATTTTATCTCGCTCAACATTCAGCCAACCTCAAAATGTAAGCTGAACGTTGGGCAAAAGTAGCATGTTTGCAACATATGTTGGCGTCGGGTTATCCGTATCTGATAGTTAAGGGGTATCGCTGTCGCGAGTCGTCCCTGAATGGGGCGAGACTGCAACGAAGCGATATCGGAAGGCTTGAACTCGAAGATCTGGTAGTCGGTAGCTAAATGTAACAAGTAAAGTCAATATGGAAATAAAGCCTCATTTGTTGGTTTCCAGCTAATTCACGACTGATCCTTTTTCAACTAACCTCACAAACATTCGTGGGCGGCGCTCCACACCACCTCTTCCTTCAAGACGTCGCCGTACACACAGGATGCTCGCACGCAACCTCACGACGAACGCTCCACACACCCCAACCATCCTTAGGCGCGCTCCGTGCCACTGCAAGCGCACGCCGGCTCCCATGCCACCCCTCCTCGCCATCACCCTTGGACTTAGCGTCCTTGGCTTCGATGCTCGAACTGCAAATGCCAGTGGGTGGCTCCTTGATGACTGCTCTGCGTCTCAATACAAACGCTCATAGAAGCTGTCGCGTGCAGTCGCTCCGGTGGGCGACACCTCCCAGAGCTCATCACCTTGAAGCTGCGCTCCCTCGGTTGAGCGAGGAGTACGGTGCGAACCGTACCCACTCACGACAATCGGTCTTCGGTCGCGAACTCTAGCAGAATTGCTGGCCACGCATTTCCTTTTTGTGTGCGTGTCGGAAGTCTAAGCCGCTTGAACTCGCGAGGACTCAACATCTGCCGTGTCCGGCGGGGGCATTTCTTGACCAATGGAGAAAAGTGACTACTCTGTCGCTTCTAAAGATTCATTCGTTCAACTGGTAACGTCACCGAATTAAACATTATAAACTAGCCCAGAAGGCAGCCTAAACGCAGATTATCAACATTCCAAGAGGAAGTACCAAGAGAAAAGCTAACAGATAGATTTTTTTCGGAATCCGCTCATCATTACATTTTTTTTCTGTCGGCTTGACCCACTTTTACACTTACAGATTGTATCGCACCCCGAGCCGTTGAAGCCTACGAAGCAAGCACCGACACTCAAGATCACTACAAGACTACATCAAAGCAGGGTGTACTTGCACTCGTGCCTGTGTAAGTAGACGATGTTAATAAATATTAAAATCGAATTGTATGCAGTGTTTCCATACCAAAATCTTCTTGCGGTTCCTGTTTTTGGGCCTTCTCGGCATGGTTGGCGCCCGAAAATAAGTAAAATGAGTGCCAGGAAGTCATTGTGGCGGGAACGCACTCCGTCCAGTGGACCATCTCGTCTTACTTTATACGTCGTAAATATTTTTTTCTAGGATTGTGAATTTTATCAACAACTAAACTTTTTACCAGTGTCGCACTGAGCCCGTGGTTTACGGTAATGATCTGAACATAACGAATTACTACGGTAGTTTAGTGACCCCGCGCCGCAAAGGCGCGCTACTGTTTCCAGATACATTCGCAGAGCGCTTCAACCACTTCAAATGTAAAGATGCCACTTCAAATGTAGATGCCACTTCAAATATGTCCCGATTTGAAGAGTCGTCTCCACAATTTGGAGAGAAGATAAAATCAGAGATACAGATAGCGTGGTGTGGTGGAAGCGAAAATTCCACATTATCTCTGCCAGATACAGTGGTGCGATGGAGATGCTCTTAGAGTATGTTGCGGAATTGACTCCCAAAAATCATGCAGCGCCGATACCGTGATTATCACTACATATTTTCAAACCTTCCCGTATAATAGTCTTCTCTAATTCTGTGAAGAAGCACTTAGACAATTGGACCGTTACCGCCAAGTTTAGTTTGCGAATGAGCGAGTCGTTTTCTTTTCCTGATCTTTGATCCAATTTTGTCCGGTCTCATACGAAGCCTTTTCTACTGCATCGGTCCATTCTCAAATCTCCTGCCAAGACCCTGCAGCACCTCCAAGAAATCGAGTAAGCTTCATTTACCCAGCTTCCTCATTGTTTCTCCAGCATCGAGTTTCGCCTCCAGAACACCAACCTAGTCTTCCAACTCCAACACCTTCAACATGCGTGAAGTCATCTCCATCCACCTCGGCCAGGGCGGCATCCAGACTGGAAATGCATGCTGGGAACTGTACTGCCTCGAGCATGGCATCCAGCCGGATGGCCAAATGCCCAGTGACAAGACCATCGGGGGAGGAGATGATGCCTTCAACACTTTCTTCTCCGAGACCGGTGCAGGAAAGCACGTCCCGCGTGCTGTGCTCGTTGACCTGGAACCCAGCGTCTGTGACGAAGTGCGCACTGGTACCTACCGTCAGCTCTACCACCCGGAGCAGATTATCTCTGGCAAGGAGGATGCTGCCAACAACTACGCGCGTGGTCACTACACCATCGGCAAGGAGATTGTCGACCTGGTGCTGGATCGCATCCGTAAGCTGGCCGACAACTGCACCGGTCTGCAGGGTTTCCTGGTCTTCAATGCTGTGGGCGGCGGAACCGGCTCCGGTCTCGGTGCTCTGCTGCTTGAACGTCTGTCAGTCGACTACGGCCGCAAAAGCAAGCTCGGCTTCACTATTTACCCGTCACCTCAGGTGTCCACCGCCGTGGTGGAGCCATACAACTCGGTGCTGTCCACCCACTCACTGCTGGAGCACACGGATGTGGCCGTGATGTTGGACAATGAAGCCATTTACGACATTTGCCGCCGTTCGCTGGATATCGAACGCCCAACCTACACGAACTTGAACCGTCTTATTGCTCAGGTCATCTCGTCTCTAACGGCTTCGCTGCGTTTCGACGGTGCACTCAACGTCGATGTGACGGAGTTCCAGACGAACTTGGTGCCATACCCACGTATCCACTTCATGCTGAGTTCATACGCCCCCGTGATCTCGGCCGAGAAGGCCTACCACGAGCAACTGTCTGTTGCCGAGATCACCAACAGTGCGTTCGAGCCTGCGTCCATGATGGCTAAGTGTGATCCTCGTCACGGCAAGTACATGGCTGCGTGTCTGATGTACCGTGGTGACGTTGTCCCGAAGGATGTGAATGCCGCTGTGGCCACCATCAAGACCAAGCGTACTATTCAGTTCGTCGACTGGTGCCCTACCGGATTCAAGTGCGGAATCAACTATCAGCCTCCCACGGTTGTACCTGGTGGTGATCTTGCTCGCGTGCAACGTGCGGTGTGCATGATCTCCAACACCAGTGCCATTGCTGAGGTGTTTTCTCGCATCGACCACAAGTTCGATCTGATGTACGCCAAGCGTGCATTTGTGCACTGGTACGTCGGTGAGGGTATGGAGGAAGGTGAGTTCTCAGAGGCCCGTGAAGATCTTGCTGCTCTGGAGAAGGACTACGAGGAGGTGTCTGCTGAGACTGCTGAGGGTGAAGGTGAGGAGGAGGAGCTAGGCGAGGAGTACTAGGTAGACCCTTTATTAGATCGATCTCAGCCAAACGACCCGCATTCTTTTCAAGAACGATAAAATATTATCTCACTGAAGCTTCTTTACGTAGTGGAGCTCATGTGGTGGTTTTACCACTGACCAAGGTGGTTAATAACCCAGACATAACTAGGCACACGAAGAACTAAAACGGAAAGGCGAATATGAAGTATCCGATGAATATCTGCATTGGTTGGCGTCCATTTATTAGAGAAGCGAAACGATTCTCGCTGCTCTGCTGCCGATTTTTTTTACGTCAGTAGATCGGCTATACAAGTTCAGCGAAGTACGTTGCGACACCGAAACGGCCAACCACCGTATTGCTGGAAACTATCATGTGAACGTGCTTACTGGGGCTCACAATTTCGAGATAGCGCCGCTACTACCGCAATGAGTTGTAAATTGTAGCAGCATGCAGTTCGGATATTGCATTCTGCCGTTGAAATCGATCATTTGGCTGCAAAGGTTTTACGTCAGATCAGCTTTTTTTCTTCTAACCGCCGCACGAGCTATCCCAATTGGGGCTGTAGCAGTTCTGAAGCAGCAAAGTCGCAAATCAGAAACGGAAGTTGTAGACGAACAACTGACATACATGTGCAAAAATTAGTTCTGATGTCATCCAAAAGGAGGCAGCGATCAACGGATACATGTCAGTGAAGTGATCTTGTTCGAGCCCCGATATCCTTACGTTGGATAGTATCCGATGAATATCTGCATTGGTTGGCGTCCATTTATTAGAGAAGCGAAACGATTCTCGCTGCTCTGCTCCTGTCTAATCTTATCAGAGTGGAGAGCCCTTGAAGGGCTTTTCATCGGTGCATACAAAGAGCAAGCTAAATAAACGGTCGGCCACTTCAATTTCAGATCTTGCTCAAAGATTGCAAATCGCACCTCTTCGTTCCTCATTCGCTGACCACACAAAGCTGACTCAGGATCGATGTGGTCGAAGAGAGATCGCTCATTCTCCTATTTGCCACGATCCAGCCAACGCGACCCCGACCCAGACTTCGATCCACGCGCAAACATGGAGCCTACCGCCTACGGAACGAGCTCCTTGGCGGTGGATGAGCACCTGATCAACCAGATGAACAGCAAACGCCATGCTTTCGTGAAGTGGGGAGTATTTGGACTGGCGACCTGCGGCATCTGCAGTACGTTGGCCTTGATGGGGACCAGTCCGGTGCATCAAGACGCAATCGCTGAGGTGATGCGAGGGGCCACGAGCTCTTTCAAGGCCGCCGATCCTGCTGTGGGTGCGGAGGTCACGTGTTTCCAGAGTTCGTACAATGACAACGTCACTCGGATGATGGAACCGGTCACCGAATTGAAGTGGAAGCGCGGCGGAAAGAAGAACGCAAAGTCGTACATTGCTATTGATTTGGAGCGGAAATACCAGGAGATTATGGGCTTCGGAGGTGCCTTCACCGAGGCGGCGGCACTGCAGTTCCAGAAGTTGCCACCAAACAAGCAGGAGGAGCTTCTGACGCTCTATTTCGACAAGGAGAAGGGCAGTGCGTACACTTTTGGTCGCATCCCGATGGGCTCGTGTGACTTTTCAGTTGACTCGTACAGCTTTGATGACGTGCTGAACGACACAAAATTGCTGTACTTTGACATGAGCGTTAAGCATGACCAGCACGTGTTGATCCCATTCATCAAACGCGCTTTGGAGCGTCAGCCAGAGATGAAATTGTTCCTGGCCCCATGGAGTCCACCGGCCTGGATGAAGCGAGGAAGTGATGAGTACACCCCCAGTATGCTTGGATCGATGGATCCTGTGGGCCTGAAGGACGACATGCGCGCAGCTTGGGCTTTGTACTTCTCTAAGTTTATCACTGCATACAAGAAGCAAGGTATTCCGTTCTGGGGTCTAACGCCCCAGAATGAACCTGAATTTGCTGCGCCATGGGAAGCTTGCAAGTACAACGCGTCGTACCAGGCCGAGTTCATCGGAGACTTTCTCGGTCCCGTCCTCGACCGTGACCACCCTGAACTTACACTTATGGTGTTCGACCACAACCGTGCTAGCGTTCGTCAATGGGCCGAGGCGATCTACAACCACCCCACTGCTGCACAGTACGTGGATGGCATGGCTTTCCACTGGTATGACATGGAGCGCTACATGGATGGAGTGGCGTATCACGAACGCTTGAATGACACCCATTTCATTGACCAGAACCGCTTCATGTTGGCTACAGAGAGCTGCAACTGTCCTGGTGTTGCCTACGGTGACGCTGCTTGGTTCCGAGCACAACGTTACGGCCACGATATCATGACGGACCTGAACAACCACGTCGTGGGTTGGGTGGACTGGAATCTACTGCTTGACCACAAGGGAGGACCCAACCACCAGGGCAACAACTGCGACGCTCCTATCATTCTGACCGAGGACGGCACGGATTTCAACATCCAGCCCATGTTCTACTTCATCCAGCACTTCTCTAGGTACATCCCCGTTGGCTCGCGTCGCGTCAAGACCCACGTTGCGGCCCGTTTCGAGAAGCCTGGTGACGCACAGCTCATGTGGGCCTACCCTGCTGCTCTTACTTCGTGCGACGGCAGCGCTCGCCAGACAATGCACGTGACCAATGATAGCAAGATTGAAGTCACTGGATCAGGCTTCTGCTTGGGCATGGTTGATGCCGCCTGGCAGGGTAAGGAGATTCAAATGGTGCAGTGCAAATTCACACAACAGACGTGGACGTTTGAAGAAGACACTGGTCGTGTCCGTGTGGGTGATTACTGCTTGTCGCTCAACCACGCGTCCACGGAAAACGGCGTGCGGCTCACTGCATCACCTTGTGAAGCTGAAATTGTGCCCCATCAGAAGTGGACGTTCAACGATGAGGACGGCACGTTGCGCTCTCACGCATCCACAACCGATCAGTGTGCGACGGGTGGATACTCGTTCGTACAAGCCACTGCGTTCGTGACTCCCGAGGACCGCAAGGTGCTTGTGGTGCTGAACGAGAACACAGAAGCGGCCGACTTTGAGATCCAAGTCGGTGATATGGCGCTTGAGACCAGCATCCCCAAGGGTGCCATCCGCACCTTCACGTGGATGTAAACTCCATTTGAATGCGTTCATCTATATTATGCATTTCCCACGAGGAAATGGTTGTCACCTGAATCAATACGAGAACGATCGCCCACCAAGGCAGTGCGGCAGTCTCGGAAGTATACAGTAGAGAAGAATTACCAAACTTTTAGTAACAATCCCTCAAATACATTGAATTAGATGCGATCAAATTATCTTTTTAATGGGTTTTAATACCACGGCTCAGGTTTTTTTTTTAAAAAAAACGTCGATTGTGATTCCATCTCGTTAAAGAGCATGTTATACAGTTGAAGAGCATGTTGCTATTTAAATGTAGTGAAACTTAGATCCGGTCTGATTCGGCTGATTCCTAATGTTTTGTATGGAATCAGCCAAATCAGACTAGATCTGAGTTTCCTTTACATTTCAATAGCAGATGATTCGAATAAGATGCTTCTTACTTGTACAAGCAGGTATAAGAGCACTATCATAATAGAAATAGTAATAGTAATCTTCTCGAAAATGATAGTAAGCGCTACTTTTCATAATAATTGTGATATGATATATATCAAGAGAGATCTGATTGGCCGGAATAGCATTCAGACGAAAAAACCCCATCAAAATTTTAATGGGTATTTTTTCTGAATGCCATCCAGCAACTTTTATGCAACTGAAGCCGTTAA